AACACTTCGGGGGCTACTATCGGGGTCACAACTCTGGGGTGTCTCAAAGCACCGATTAGTTAGCAGGCCACATGGCCTGCAACGCAACAGTCAGCAATGGCCTAAACAACCAAGGCCAAGCAGAGCAGGCTAGGCACTAAAGATGGGGTCAGCCCCGGCCCCTTCCACCCGCCTTAGTCACACAGCACTCGCAAGACACACGACCTCTCCCCATCACGACCCCCGGAGGGGGGAGGTCGAGTGTAGCTAGGCGCACCTGCTCTGACAAGAGCAAGCATGCCGCACTGACCCTGCAAGGGCCGAGGGGATAGTAGTCACTTCAGCTCGGTCAAACACCGTCCCTATGCCATACCGCACCAGCGAGACAACACCACACCATGGTGGTAATGGGTACGATACCCACCTGTCCAAATATGGACCGACTAGACGCTTGTACGATCCCACCCACTATGGGATGGGATCCATGACAAGGGACTTGACAAAAGGGCCATCTAGACCGACAGAGTGCCTCGACCCCGAAGATCGGGGTCGTGGCCCTGGCCCTGTAAAGCGACCAAGCGAATGACGACCAAGGGCAACTACCTACTTTGGGTACGATGCCCTTGGGAACCAAGGGACGATGATGAAGGCCACAATGGACATCGTATTGCATAGGACGGCTGACAAACCATCATCGAGGCTACAGTGCCGCCATGGCCGGCACAGTAGCGCCACATCACATCCTGCCGCAACGTGGCCAGAAGACCATGATGATAGCCATGACCAAACATGCACCAAAAGATGACATAGCTTAGAAGCCAAGTTAGCTAGGCCCTCCCTTAGGCTCTCAACCCTTCGGTCAGGAGAACCTCCTCTTTATACAAGCCCTGGCCCTAAACTCTATATAAGGGCAGCTAGGGCACCCATCTCGGGGGATGATTCACATCCTCTACCATTCCATTCATCCACCATTGTAGTAGGGCTCCTGAAGCTTCTCCTTGGGCAGCCCTTCGCCCAGCATAGGGCCTTCCACCATTCTTGCACCCCCCATTGTAAGAACTTCAAAGCATTCAAGCGAGAAACACACACTCGATCATCTCTAAGACTGAACGTAGAGCTCTGGCCTAAACTAGTATAAATCCTCATGTCCATTGATGCTACCATCGTCTTCCTAGAGCACTACGGCAATCATATAAGTTTACTAGTCCAGTTTACAAAACACGCACTCACGTTTGTTGAGAAGGAAGCGATGGCTCCTCGCACTGCCGGTGGACTCGCTAGTGGAATGGCCCTCGGTGGCCACATCCGCCACAAAAACTATGAGTTCACCAGCATCAAAGGGCCAGCACCCACATCCGCCCACGGCTACGACCCAAACCTCTACCAAGGAGATCCAGGACATGTAGTCCACAACGGACACACTCTCAAAACTGCCTCTGGTGGCAGCATCCTAAAGTTCACCCACCTAGAGGGGCCAGTACCCTCGCTCGCCGCTGGCCGTGGCCAAGCCTCTCTGTTTGGGAAACCAGAGGTCCACGGCTCACAACGAACTCGCCCAGGAAACGGCCTCAACTGGCCACATCTTTTTGGGAAACCACATGGTTATCCGCATCAAAGGGCCGACGCCCATGTCCGCTCTCAGCTGCGACCCGGACCTCTACCCTGTTGGTCTAAATCCCATGATCCACGACAAACACACTCATGAAACTGCCCTTGGGGGCTATATCCCATAGTGCACCCATGTGAGGGCCCCAGTGTCCTCTCTCACTACTGGCCAAGGCCGAGAAATCCACCCGGGAAACCAGACGGCCATGGCTCACGACGACCACACCCGAGGAATGGCCCACGGTGGCCACATCCTTTTAGGGAACCATGAGATCACCCAAACCGACGGGGCAATGCCCGTCATCCGCTCATACCCTGTACAGGTTAGACGCTTGGCAAAACTAGACCCTATGACAGAACCACGCCCGAGCAGCGTCACCACCAGTGAAACACAATGAACTAGGATGCGCACACGAATGACAAAACTCCCCGCCATCACGCGGTGCCATTGTGAGTGACCTAGTGGGTAGCCAATGCCACGCCACGCTGGGTCAAGCCTAGAACCAGGGTCTGATCCTACATAATGGGCAAGCTGCACGACACACCATGGCGAACTGTCAGCTGTCACTTGGAAGCACGTGCATCCAAGGAAGCGGGCTCTTCAAGCGCACCACGTGCCACGATGAGCGGATCGAACCATGTTGCCCTCAAGGCTGGCTCCCACAGCGACTAATCATGATAGTTCTTAGTCAAAAGCGGTAGATACACTCGGAGATGGAGATGTGGCGACAGCGGCGACGTCGAGCCAGGAGGACCCGGGCACCAAAACGCACGAGCCCTCCCGCCGGAAGCTACAACAAGCGGACGTGAAGAGGCCATCCTTGGGGGCTCATGGGCTCATCGAGGATATCGAGCCAGCAAGGAACGACCCAAAACTACCTAGGAGGCCAAGTTATCTAGGCCCTCCCTTAGGCTCTCAACCCTTCGATCGGAAGAACCTCCTCTTTGTACAAGCCCTAGCCTCGAACTCTATATAAGGGCAGCCAGGGCACCCATCTCGGGGGATGATTCACATCCTCTACCATTCCATTCATCCACCATTGTAGTAGGGCACCTAGAGCTTCTCTTCGGGCAGCCCTTCTCCTAGCATAGGACCTTCCATCATTCTTGCACCCCCCATTGTAAGAACTTTGGAGCATTCAAGCGAGGAACATGCACTTAATCATCTCTGAGACTAAACATAGGGCTCCGGCCTGAACCAATATAAATCCTCGTGTCCATTGGATGCTACCATCGTCTTCCTAGAGCAGCGTAGCAATCGTATAAGTTTACTAGTCCAGTTTACAAAACACCGACAGAAGTCTTCTTGCTGCTTGGGAATGGAAGCTCGTCTATGTGTGGAGTTCACCGATGTAGAACTCGCGTCGGTGGCACAGAGCTTGTCGCTCTGGTGGAGATGGTCGCGACAGATCTAGTGGAGAAGACCGTGACTGGTCGCTCTAATGGTGAAGACGGACCACACGCTAGAGAAGGCCATGGTAGGCTGGAGGCACCATGGAGAGGAAGAAGACGGACAGTTGCACTAGGGTGCAGTGGAGATGTCGGCCGGCGGTCGACGCCTGGACGCGTTGTAAAGAACGCCGAGGTGGGTGCGGCGGAGTGTTGTCGCGGCGCTACGACAAAGAGCCTTCTTGAGAGGACGAGTGTAGAAGAGGTTTCTGGACAGAGGATGCACGAGTGGACAAGAGGATACGATGTTGGGCTGTTGAGCTGGTGTCGCGGCCCGCGAACGACAGCGTCGGCCGCTGTCTAGCCGAGACTCTTTCCTTCGCTCATCCGCAACTCTAAGGAAACCCTATGCCATAACCGGTAGCCACACAGATGCTCTAACTCTTAAGAATAGGAATTGGAACCAACAATGGAGAGACAGAGGAGTGCAAGCGGCAACAACACGGCGGCACAAGCGAACTTCAGAACGGAACGTCGAACGAGGCGACATGCGATGTGAAATCTAGAACCGATCAGTGCCATGAGCCTGAACTCGAGGCATCGGGATCACAGGGTTCTGCTAGGTGCGTGGACCATCCGCACGGAGCATTTTGCGGATAATGTGCATGACATGTGGGTCATGGGACATGTGATTTTGCAAGCACGCCCACACCACAGTAGCACAATCCGCACAGGATCTGATAAGGACGGTCCGTACGCAATATTTTATAGAAAAAGTCCATATTGCCTCCCTCAATTTTCGTGAAAGTCTGATTTTCTTTCCTGAACTCTAAAATCGGGTAAACCACCTCCATGAACTTTTAAAATGGTTCATTTTACCTCCCTGGCCGGTTATAAGTGTTTTTCAAAGGTTGTTTTGTCCTTTTTCTTTTTTATTTATTTCGGTCGAATCTTTGAAAAATTATAGTAAATCACGAAAAAATCATAAAATAGAAAATCTAATTTTGTTGGACTCCACATGAGTAGATATACATAGTGAACAATAATATGGTATGTTTTAGTACACATTTTTTTGTTGTAGGTTTAGATTTATGCTTTTCTATAATTAATTCATAGCTGTAGTTTCTATGATTAAATTGTGGTGAAATTTTTATGGTGGGCTAATTATTATATGCTTGAACTGTAGTAACAATTTCATATCCATTGGATCATGTATAACTTAGTTATAGATTTATTCAGGTGTATGCTTGTTAAAAAGTATTTATAAATATAAAATCATTATTTTTTTCATATGACTTGGATGGATGCACATGTTTATTGTGAAATAAACATTTACAAGATCGAGGAGATACATAGATTTTTAGTTCATCACCTTTTCATTTAAAGCCATCAATTGCAGGATTTAATAGCGCTATGCTTTCAGTGGTAGATGACGTCTCCGTCGACAGCGAGGTGCCTATGGTGATTTCGTGAATCTCGAGATCTGTTGCCTCGGTCCTTCGGAGGTTCTTATAGGAGTAGAGTTTGCGTACGTGTGTTCATAGAGGGTGAGTGTGCGTGCGTGTTTCTAAAAAAATAATTAATACAACAGTTAGATCTAGCAGTTGTTTAGAAATAAAGATGGCGTCGAACGGAGGAGTGGAAAGCAACAAAGTTGCACATGGTTTTATGCTGGAATTGCATGGCCCAGCAATTCGACAACCCAAACTAGCAGAGTGATGCGGCCCATATGTGCTGCCTGTTTGAGCTGAAGCACCTCTTTACCGCCCCCACCACCGGCTTGGCCGGGAGGACTTTCACTGGTCAAGGCCCAGTGGTCTTGAGGAGCTCAGAGTCTCCTGTGAAGAAGAAGTAACTAAACTAAACTATGAGGTACTTGTCTCGATTACGTCTGTATAATTCTGTTGGCGCATTGTCATCCTTCAATTCTCGTTCTTAATTTTTGGTCCCCCGCTCTAATTCTTGCTCGAAGTGCTCTGCTGCTGTCCGGCATTTTGGGTGGAGTTCATCACTTGGGGTCTTGGGGATCAATTACCATAACAAGGAGCTCGAGGCAGGAGCAGAGCATCGCCGTCATAGTTCTCGGCGTTCACAAAATCCGTAACCCTGTCCATGAGCACTTGGAAGTCATCGTCCGACTTGAGGAGGCTCACCCTCGTGTACCGGCTGCTAGCGTCGTAGCCAGCGCCGGAACGCGTGATGATCCTGGCCTTCAGCAGCGCCTCGTAGCAGTCGTCGTCTTCCTCCCTCTCGCACTTCACCCATGCATAGGCTGTCCACATCCACATAATAGCTCGATCTGAGAAAAATGCTATGACTAGAGATGAAAAAGTTGTCGAGGGTGCACTGCATGCTGTGCTCACCAGGCGATGGCTCTCTGACCCGGTCGAAGTAGGTGCAGTACTGGTTGGGAGGGATGCTCTGCAGCGAGATGCGGCGTGACCGCGACACGACGGCGCTCAGCCTGCGCCATCTGCTCCTCATCACGTCGTGCCCGAAGCTGAAGATGTCGTCCTTGCCGTGCAGGTTGGCCAGCATGAACCTGACGATCCCCAGCATCCGCAGCTGGGTGTCCCGGGACGCGCCCATGATGCTGTTCTGCACGTACTCGTACGCCCTCTTGGCCACCTTCTCGTCCCTGATCAACGCCCATCTGTGCGCACAGGATGTGTCATTGCGATTCATTCGCGTCGATATGCTCATCTCGTGCACATAACACGCTAGCTAGTAGCTACGCAACGCACCCGAGTCTGCTGCCGGCATGCCCGGATGGCTTGGACATGGTGAACAGCATGACGTCCTCGTCGGCCGGTGCCGCGATGTGCGTGAAGTGAGGCCAGTAGTAGGCGTGGTCGGCGATCACCGCGGAGCCCCGGAGAACGGGCGCGCGGAGCAGGGCGTCGGGGTTGTTCGGCGACGTGACGAACTCGACGAACCTGCTGCCGTCGCTGGAGTTTCGTGACGCGTTGGCCCATGCAGCCGTGGTTCCCTCCCATCTGTACTCGCGGCCGTCGAACATCGCTGTCTGTGTTCTGTACGGCTGAACCATGCATCCATCAACAAGGCGATCATTGATTTTGTATATATATATATAAGTACTCCTATTCCTATATGCTTTCGATTCTCTGAGCATTTGACGGACCATCGATGCGCATGCATGCTCATAGTCCTAGATTGGATTGGATGTCTGACCGGGTAATATGGCGCGGTGGCGACCACGCGGGCCGGTGGCGAGGCGGCGGCGGCGGCGTCCGGGGAGAGCGCGTGCACCAGCGCGTTGATAAGCTGCGTGGAGCCGGCGCCCAAGACCAAGGTCTTGTCGTCCACGACGGCGTTGCCGACGGCCCTGTGCAGCTGCCGGATGTGGTTCTCGAGCTCGACGGATTGGTAGAGGCCGTCGGTGGTGGCGTAGCTCAGACGATGCCATCCGGGCACTAGCACGGCGCTGGCCGCCGCGTGCCGCTTCCAGTAGGGCTCCAGGAACAACGGGTCCCCGCTGCACCGCGCGCCAAGCCGCCAACAACCATTTCATTAGTACCGCAACTCTATTTATGTGCCAGAGATGGAAACCGATGGGCCGGGGTCACCTCACCTGTTAGCATCGGCGGTGCAGTTGGGCGTTCGAATCGAGCAGTCCGGCCCGTCGAAGCAGCGGTTGCACTCGCACCCAGGCCGCCCGTCCGCGCCGACGACGCCATCCAAGAACACCTGCCCGTGGCCGGAGCAGTCCGCGGCGGCCAACGCCTCGGCCTCCCTAGCCGCCTGCAGCGCCCAGCTCAGGCCGCAGCTGCCACCGTCGCCGAGCAGCTGGGACGGCGAGAGGAAGGAGAAGGAGTAGTGCGCGAGGAAGAGCACGTTGAGGAGCAACGATGAGCAGAGGGCGACGACGCCGAGGCCAGCAGCTCGTCTTGGCCGCCGCTCCTCCGCGGACTCCATTGTTGGATTACTATTGGACGTCTCGGCGTGTTTTCAAAACTCAAAAGCCGTAATATATAGTTCTTCCTGCGAGCAACTCAAACACTCCACCACCGTTCTATGTTCAACAACGTGGCATAACTTGTTTCTCGTCTGACTCTGATGAACTAACAAACGACCCGCAAGGTTAGACCGATACTAATTTCCGAAGAGATGATCCAGCACTGCAAGGAACGCCGATGATAGGTTTACAGTGACTTGTATTTGCACGTATCTTTTGGTTACATGTATCTTGTCGATTTTGGCCAATTAGACCTGATCAATAGCTTCATGAAACTGATCACCAAGGTCAATACGACATCTACACAAAGAAAAGCACCCGACCTTATTTATTGAGCTTGACATTTCAAAGGCATTTGATTCATTAAACTGGCCATACTTGTTGGAGGTCTTGACTCAGTTGGAAAAATGTTTGTTCAAACACAAAGAATTCAAACACAAGAGTGAAAAATCTTACACTAAATAGAACAGGATAATGAACTTCGGGCCAAGCTTACCAACTGAAAGCGTATCTAGACTCTAAATGCTTTCCGATGAATTAAATGGCAATACGATTAAAGGACTAAAATATTTGTTGAGATTGTGCAAGTATTTAGTCACCGGTTAATTTACGTGTTTGAGCTAAAAAATAAAGCAAATGACATGCGAATGATAAACGAGTTCAAATTTGATTAAGTGTCAAACATGTTGTGAAGATAACAAAAGGGACATGATTTGATGAACATCAACGGCAACGGTTAATCAATCAATTTGATGAATTATATAACCCTAGAAATAAACTTGAGTGATTAACTCTAAAGTCTAGAATTTAGTGGTTAGAGTCTCGGAAAACTAGCTAGGCCAGTTTTACCCCAGTTTGTACAATAACATCTAATTCAATTAAAAATTAACCAGGTTGGTTTTGACTGACTGCAACCTTAACGGTTGGTTTATGGGCCTAAGTATTTATATTCATCCCCTCCCTCTGGGAGGGACTGCTGATGCATTCCACATCCATCTAAGCTTCAGAGAACCTTTAAAGCTCAACTAATCATCCCTTTGTGGGATTTGTGTGCTAAGTAAAATATCCTTTCCATTAGAGAGTGAGAACTGAGTTGTGAGAGCTTTAGTGAGCAATTGTTAGTTTATCCTAAGCCTTTGAGTACTTTGTGTTTGGGTTAAACAAAATTTGAAGCATTTGTTATCATTGGAGATTTTCTCATAGACGGCTAGGCATCACCAGCAAGTACCCAATGTGGAGTGACACGGGACAGTTTGTGGACGCTGCTATCCTGCCCCAAAAAATAAAATGGCCATTTAATGGATCAAAGAAAGTGGTTTTGATCATGGTGATCACTCACGGTTTCCTCAACGAGCACTTAGGGTCCAAGTGGAGACCTGAACTTCGAGAAACAAATCGTCGTGTCTCTTGTTTTGGTTTGCCTCACGGTCACTTCGTTCATACGCTTAGTTTCAATTACCAGACGGGGTATCATAGTATGAGCAAAATCTGTTAGGTTGATCTCCTCCTGACTCGGTCCAACGACCGAGTCGGGGCCCTGATTCACGTCCTGATCGGGGGTGCCCAACCAAATCATGGTTAGTGGGGCCCTGTCACACAGCGCCATATAAAAGGAGGTGGGGGGGGGGCACTTGGTATGAGGTTGACCGCAGCCGCCACAATCCCCACCTACAACCCTAACCGATCAAGGGGGCGCTGTGAGAGACGGAAGCACCATTGCCTTCACCGCCGTCTCTGCATCGCACTCGACGTCTTCATTGCCACTGGACTCCACCGACCTCAGCACGACGATGGCTAGCAGCTCCGCCAAGCCCACCGACGGTTAGCTACCTCTACGTCTCTCTCTCTCTCTCTCTCTAATTCCTCCCTCTAGTTCATGCTCTAGGTTGGATCTAGGACTCTATCCCGAATAGAAGTGTACACCCACTAGATCTACACACCTAGATGATCCTACTATTCTAACATTGGTATCAGTCGCCTACACAAGGTGTAGATCTAGCCCTTAGGGTAGAAACCGAGTAGAAATGAAGAAGGAGATGATTCAAATCGGATCAAAACCCTAACCCTAATCCTAACCCTAACCCTCAGCCACCGATGGGGAACGGACGGAGAAGGGGAGGAACCTACCTAGTTTCCTTACCACCGTCGACACCGCTGCGTGAGGGAAGAATGACTACGCCGCCGCTTCATCGGCGCGCGGGAAGACCGGCCAAGCCATGGGCTCACCGGTGCCTCTAACGCTCCATGTGTGGGTGCATAGGGCACCACCGCACAACCCTTCGACGGCGGCGCGCTCACCCTCAGGTGGATGCATGCACCGGCGAAGGGGTGCACGGCGGCGCCACCATCTCCTCCGGTGGTCGTCGCTCCGTCGCGGCGCTTAAGAGATGAAAGGGAAGGAAGAATGGAGTTAGGGTTCAAGGAGCGGCGCGGCCATGGGTTTTTGATCGGCCAAGAGTTCCGGAGAGCCGTCCGATCGTGACCAACGGCGGGGATCGCTCGGGCCGCCTTTTTGGCCCAGGCGGGAAGATGAAATCCTGGCCCAGGCCTAGGTTACGGCGCATGTGGCTGGACGGCGGGTCATTTTCACCGCTGGCCCGCGACAGCGCGCAGCGCGCGAGTGGGTTTTTGGCCCAAATGCACAGTGATCTCTTTCATTTTGTTTTATTATTTTCAGAAGTAAATTTTGAAGAATTACATTAAGTTTTGATGATTAAATCTCTACTCAAATTTGAACCAACGAGAAAATTTATTCAGAGAGTAGACAAGTACTGGTAATTGTTTCTGAATAATATTATTTTTAAGATTATTTTTCATGTTTTCGCTGCTATGATTAAGTTAATCCTCTAATTAAATTGGAGGAGTAGTCATTTTTTGTTTAAGTTAAATTATGGTATTGTTATTTTTTGACCAACGTTGATGATAACAATATTATAAGTTTATTCATGAGTTCTTTTTCTATGCATTAATTCCATTTCTGCCCAACGGTGTTATAGAATTAATGTAGAAGAAAGTTATATTTATGATATTGCTATTTTCTGACCAAAGTTGATGATAACAATATTATAAATTTTATTTATGAATTTTATACATTAGTTCTGTTTCTGCCCAATGGTAATATAGAATTAGTTGTAGAAGAATATGTATGTTTTAATATTGACCAACATTAAATTAAGGCATGCAATTACTATGTCAACTGTTTCTCACTTTCTCTGATGTTGTTTCAGGATACAACCCGATGATGTTTATCTCGTCTATTATGTCTCTCAACAGGAGCAATTATAACACATGGTGAGAGAAGCTTGAGATAGCACTTACGCTCTCAGACAATGACCTAGCACTTATCTCTCCGTATCCCACTGAGCCTACGAACCCGGTGAGGGCAAAAAATGAGACCGATGCAACTTTTGCTACTCGGCATCGTGACCACGCTGAAGTGAGAATGAAGTACGATCTTGATTGTGCAAAGTGGGATAGTTCAAATAGGAAGTGTTTGATGGTGATTAAGGGAACCATTGAGGATCTAATAAGGGGTTCGATCTCTAGAATGTACCACCGCCACTGAGTATCTCAAGAAGGTGGAGAGTTAGTTTACTGGCTCTTTAAAGGCTTATGCAAGCACTCTCATTAAGAAATTAGTTAATGAGAAATACTTTGGTGGAGGGATTAGAGAGCACATATTGAAGATAAGTAACACGGCATCTAAGCTCAAGCTAATGGACTTGGGGCTCAAGGATGAATTCCTAATTCATTTGATTTTTGCTTCTTTGCCTAAAGAGTATGAGACCTTTGTTGTGAACTACAACTTACAGTCAAATAAATGGGACATTGAGAAGCTCATTACAATGTGTGTTCTAGAAGAGGAGAGGCTTAAGATCTCACATGGTGACTCAGCTAACCATGTGAAGGAAAATAAAAAGAAGAACTTTTACAACAAGAAAGACAAACCACAAGGAAAACCTCAGTGGGACAATAGCTCCTCCTACCTCTCAGAATGATCATCATCAGAAATCCAATGTTCAAGTGGACAAGGACGCCTGCAAATAGTACAAGAAGACTAGACACTATTAGAAGAATTGTCCAGATTTCTTAAAGCACTTGATGAGGAAAGGTGAGGATATTATTATATTCATAGATGAGTCCTTGTATTTAAGTTATGCAAAATCTACTTTGGTGGATTGATTTAGGTGCAACAATTCATGTTGCAAACTCCTTGCAGGGATTCCATACGAGGAAGACCCTGCAAAGAGGAGAAAGACACATTAAGGTGGCAAATGGAGTCAAAGCTGAAGTAGAAGCCATTAGAGAACTCCCATTAAAATTAAATGATGGCTTTGTACTTAAGCTTATAAATGTCCTTTATGTACTCTCTTTGCGTAGAAACCTAATAAGTGCCTCACATTTAGACGATGATGGATTTGATTGTCATTTTGGTAATGGCCAATGTAAGATTACGTTTAATAATAAGTGTGTTGGTCTTGCCTTCCGACAAGACAAGCTTTATTTGTTATCACTTTGTGAGAATATGAATGTTGTGAGCACTAAAAATGAGAATGCCTCCTCGTCTATGAATGCAAGAAATAAGCGGAAGAAAGTTCATGATATATCTTCGAAATTATGGCACTGTCGTTTAGGCCATATTTTGAGGGGGAGAATAGAACGATTGATTAAGAAATCAATTCTTCTACCATTAGAATTTTCAGATTTAGAACAATGCATTGATTGCATAAAAGGAAAGTATCTTAAGAAAATAAAGAAAAATACCAAAAGAAGCGCAGGAATTTTAGAAATAATTCACATAGATATATGTGGTCCTTTTCCTGTGAAAAGTGTGGATGGTTATGATTCATTTATAACGTTCACAGATGATTATTCTCGTTATGGCTATATTAATCCAATTAAGGAAAGATCAAAAGCATTAGATAAATTTAAGATATTTAAGGCTGAAGTAGAAAATCAT